GGGGGCCCGCCCTCCAGCCACATCTGAGGTTCAGAGCAGGCACCCCTCTGTGTTGATCTCTAAGGCTCTGGGCTGCGCCTGCATGTTGTTCTCTCAGTGCCCAGCGGCCTCCTCCTGAACTGGTTGTGACCATTATGGAGTCTCAACCTCATTTGCATATTACTGCTAGACAGATAGATGATAGATAGATAGATAGATAGATAGATAGATAGATAGATAGATAGATTGTTGTATACAATTGTTTCTTAAATCAGTTAAGAGAAGAAAGAAGAGGGAATCTGCATTTATACTGTCTTTTATAATTACACAATTTCCTTACTGGTTCTCTTTGTTTTTCTATATGGATTTGTATTACCATATGGGGTCACCTGCTTCCTTCCTGAAAATTCCCTGTTGTGTTTTTTCTAAAGACAATTTGCTAGCAATATAGTTTCTCCAAGTCCCCACACTGTTTCAAATAAAATCAGTTCTTTGGGGGAGAACTTCAGAGATGCACTGCCTCTCTCCCTGGACAAATATCTCTGAGCCATTGCCTCTCCCTGGACAGGGGTGGTAGCCTCTGGTCTACTCTACTTGCCTCTACCAGGTTGGAAACACCTTCCTACAAGTCAGACAGAGGGAGGATGATCAGGCCAGGTGATCTCAGTCCCCATCCTTCCTCCCACCTATGCATCAGCTAGAGCCTTCACTCTATGAGTGGGGCTGGGTGCAGGTGGGGAGCCCAAGCCTCCTTGGAGGGGATGAGAAATATGGTGGCCTGCCTCTCCCAGAGACATACCTTACCCTGCTTGAAAGAGGGAAGAGGGAGCCACATCTTGTCAACTACACACAGCAGGAACCAGCAATGGAGCTTTTGTCAAACTGAACTGTAAGATTAGAGTCACTCAAGGAATTAGGCTGACACAGCAAGCAAGCAGGAGGAAAGTTTATCAGAGGGAATGGGAGGATGGAGCCACCACCAGGGAAGGTAGGCATGCAATCTCTGCTGTCCTCAGGGTTGAATTTTATGTTCAAAACTGCAAGGGCGGAGGCTGGGGGATAGAAGTGTTCTAGTCTGATTAGCTGGAGTCCATTGTCCTTCAACCCTATTAATGCAGGCCCTTGAGGCTGTGGGCTGTAAGCTGCCTTCGTTATTTTTTGGCCTGCTGTCTCGCCCTGGGTAGGACTCCCTCCTGTTCAGCCAGATAGGGTGACAGCATGTAGTTCCATGATATGAGGCTGGGGCCACTTTCTCCTTTGGGACTTTTTAGTTAGTCCGCCTGAGCCAAATGTCCTCTGCTGGCCTGTCATGAACTAGTTATGAAATCCCGTAAAATCCATGTACCCTCCCGCTTGCATATCTTGCAGAGATTCTTATCATGGTTGTTGAGTCACTGCTTTTTACTCAATGCTTTCAGTTTCACATTCCTATAAATTCTTCATTTCTAACAAAGTACTTTAGGAAGTCAGGACAGCCACGTCACATTGGAGTTGAAATAAAAGCCCAAGCACCCAGTGGAAGGCAGAGAAGTGACAAACCACTCCAACTTACACTGAGGGGAAAAAACAGGTAAGAACTTTATTTTCTCATCAAAGCAGCGTTCTCTCCACCTCTAAAGGACTTTACTCTGAGAAATGGAGTCCAGGGTAAGGTTGGGGCAGGTGGGAGGTATGTATAAGGGTCAGTTCATTTTCCAAAGAACGAGGAGCATGAAGATAGGTTGCAGCAGAGCCCGCGTGGGACAGGCGGTGAGGTGCAATCCCCATGATATCTGGGGGCAGCGCATCCCTAAGTGTCACTACTGTGCTTGGAGGAATTAGGCAGCAGCAGATATGGGGCTAAGCTCATAGTTCGAAATGCATTTCCATTGTCTTTCTCTTTGCCAACACTGTGTTGGCTGTAGACACAGTTAAATTACCATTGTCTTGATGGAACTTGCTCAATTCTGGTCTGGCTGCAGCTGACACACTGAAAGGGCTACAGATATGTTATTTTCATGAGAAAGAAGTATAGAAAATGAGATGCAGCATAAACAGCCACCTGACAATGTTATAAAAGAAGAAAGAAATACCTGAAACTCAGAGTGAAAAATGAAGAAATCACAAAAAAACCATACATTTTAGACATATAGATGAGCTTAGTTTCAAAGTGGATTACTCACTTAAAAGTAACTCAGTTTCTGGTTGCCAGATGTGAGGAAGGATGGGGGCTGGTGAAAATGGGGAAGGGATTAAGAAATACAAATTGGCAGTTATAACAGTTACAGGGATGTAAGTAAAGCCTAGGGAATATAGTCAATAATCCTATCTAATAAAGGGGCAGCGCATCCCTAAGTGTCACTACTGTGCTTGGAGGAATTAGGCAGCAGCAGATATGGGGCTAAGCTCATAGTTCGAAATGCATTTCCATTGTCTTTCTCTTTGCCAACACTGTGTTGGCTGTAGACACAGTTAAATTACCATTGTCTTGATGGAACTTGCTCAATTCTGGTCTGGCTGCAGCTGACACACTGAAAGGGCTACAGATATGTTATTTTCATGAGAAAGAAGTATAGAAAATGAGATGCAGCATAAACAGCCACCTGACAATGTTATAAAAGAAGAAAGAAATACCTGAAACTCAGAGTGAAAAATGAAGAAATCACAAAAAAACCATACATTTTAGACATATAGATGAGCTTAGTTTCAAAGTGGATTACTCACTTAAAAGTAACTCAGTTTCTGGTTGCCAGATGTGAGGAAGGATGGGGGCTGGTGAAAATGGGGAAGGGATTAAGAAATACAAATTGGCAGTTATAACAGTTACAGGGATGTAAGTAAAGCCTAGGGAATATAGTCAATAATCCTATCTAATAAAGAGGGAATATGCAAATTGGCCATCATGCTGTCACAAAGATGGGGGTGCCCACAGCGAAGGCAGGGTTTCTGTAACACAAGATGGCTATACTCACAGTGGAGGCTGCATTCCGGTTATGGATCTGAGGCTGCGCCCCCCCGTCCGGTGAAGCATGACAGGGGACCTCAGGCCGTGCTCCCCGACCCAGTGACAGGTCGGAGGACCTGAGGCCATGCCCCCTGCCTGGAAGGGCTTGACAGGGGGACCTGAGGCTGTGCCCCCCGCCCGGCAGGGCTTGACAGGGGGCATCAGGCCATGGCCCCCACCTGGTGGGTCTTGACGGGGGACCTCAAGGTGTGCCCTCTGCCCCGGCACCAAGCCTGGAGACCTAAGGTCATGCTCCCCGCCCTGGTGCTGGGCCAGGGACCTCAGGCCATGCCCCCCTCAAGGGGCTTCATGGGGGACCTCAGGATGCTCCCTTTCTGGCAACAGGCCAAGGGACCTCATGCTACCCTCCTCACCCCAGAACCAAGCCGGGGGACCTGAGTGTGTTCTGGAGGACCTGAGGCTGCTCCTCCTACCCAGCAGGGCTTTGTGGGGACTTGAGGATGCATATCCTACCCCCAGCTCCAATCAGGGGACCTGAGGCTGAACCCCCCGCTTAGCTTTGACAAGGGTGGGGCCAACTGGGTCTGGATCTTGCCCAATGGGTGTGGGGCCGGCTGGGTCTTTTTCTCACACCATTTTAAGGTGCCGCTGATTGGCAGGGACTTGGCTCTGGGTCTGGTGGCGTGCCCCAGACACTGATAGAGGGAAGATTTTCATATACATTTCCCTAATTTTTTTTCATCTCTGACACTTCTATTATAGATAAAGGGAAAATTGCAATATTAAAATATTTCCTCTAATTAATCCCCTTTTATATGTGCACTAACTTCATGCACCTGGCCAGTAGTCCACATAATAAAAGCCTAAGCAACCATTACAGCAGAACAAGTAAAACAACTGGTTGCTATGATGTGCTGTGACCACCAGGGGGCAGAGGCAAAATGCAGGAGCTGCCCCCTGGTCGTCAGTGTACTCCCCCAGCCAACCTCCTGCAGCTTACCAACCTCCTGTTCCCCCTCCCCTGGCTGGGTGGCCAACCTCCTACAGCCCTGCCCCCCACATCTAGCCATCCTCCCATGACCCATCCCCTAGCCAGCCAACTTCCTGTAGCTCCTCCACCCCAATCCTGCCAACCTCCCAGACCACTACCTGGACCAGCTGGCCCCAATTGGCCTCAATTGGACTGGGCCAGACTCTCCGATTGGTCCCAATTGCCTGCCAGGCTGAGGGACCCCACCCATGCACAAATTTGTGCACCGGGCCTCAGGTATTGTTATAATTATGTATGCTGACATGTAGACCCATAGAAGGGATCCTTTTAAGGTATACAAATGTCTAACAACTATGTAGTACATTGAAACTCATATAATATTAATTATCAACTGTAATTTTAAAATGACAATTTTTTTACAATAAAATAAAATAAAAAATAGTTCCAATCAACCAGATCCAATTTCTTAGGGCCAACTTCTTTCTTACCCCGTACAAGTAGAATTTGGCCCCAATACTGTACTAAAAAGTTTTCTCTTTAAGAAATCTGCATCGCTAAAGCCAACATTTTATATACCTGACCTGTCTATGCTCTCAAGCAAGTTTGCTTTTGCTTTCTGGAAACTGCTTCTGAATTCCTTGGCTTGGCATGAACTTTACTCATCACCTGCTTCTCGGACAAACCTCTCTCTCTCTCTCTCTCTCTCTCTCTCCTTACAGCTCTTCCTCTCCCTCTCTCTCCCCAGTTTCCTCCCCTCCTGGCTTCTTGCTGCTTCTCTTTCTCCTCAACCTAATGCAAAAACAGAACAAAACAGAACGCCTACAAGTGTATGACTGGAAATATATTTTCACTGAACAACCTAGGCTCCCCTGATCTGCCTCCTGATCTTTTAATCCATATTTCATAGTCTTTTGTTCCCTTACACCACACACATATATACACAAACATGGTTTTTGGCAACATTCAGTATTTGTAGTTGTGCACTCTTACCCCCTTTTAGTTGGAGGCTAATTTTTTGTGAAGCTAATGAAGTTGAAGTATAAGGCCCCTTGCTTGCACAAGCCCATATCAAGGCTTTGGGCAGGTCCCTACTCGTTTTTCCTATAGTCATACATTTTTATAAAATTTGCAAATGTAAGTTATATTGGTTCCGCTTCCAGAATAACAGTATAAACAGTTCTGTGAACCCTCACTTCTGCAAAATAAGCACAACTAGTAGAAAAAAACACACATTTCAAATCTGTGAAAAATGCTTTGAAACTCATATAATATTAATTATCAACTGTAATTTTAAAATGACAATTTTTTTACAATAAAATAAAATAAAAAATAGTTCCAATCAACCAGATCCAATTTCTTAGGGCCAACTTCTTTCTTACCCAGTTTTTGCACAGCAGTTAGAGTGTTGACCCTTGGATTAAAGGGTGGATTGAATGATTGCGGTGGGGGCAAGTGCAGGAGGCAACCAATCCAAGTGTCTTTTTCACATAGATGTTTCTCTCTCTCTGTCTCGCCACACCCCCACGACCACTCTCCCTAAAAATCAATGGAAAATATCCTCCAGTGAGGATTAACAAACAAAAAAATACAACTATGAAAATTATTCAAAGAGCATACATCTAATGATGAAACATTTATATACAAAAGTCGGTATTCATAGTAGAATTAATTAACAAATAAATATTAAATTTCTTACACATGGCAGGATGTAAACTACTCTCTAAACCCTATTCTATTTTATACTAATGTCCAGCAAATAAACCTTTTTATATATTTTCATTGATTTTTAGACAGAAGGAGGGAGTCGGAGAGACAGTAATATCAATAATGACAGAGAAACATTGATTGGCTGCCTCCTATGCATCCCCTACTGGGGACAAGCCTGCAACCCAGGCATGTACCCTAACCTGGAATTGAGCCCTGACCTCCTGGTTCATAGGCCCATGCTCAATCACTGAGTCACACCAGTCAGGTTCTAGCCTGAAAATTTTAATGACAATCTAAAAAGAAGTTTTCTATGGTAATTAAAAATTTCGTTCATGAAAGTGGTTAAATGTTGATGTCCTTGTCATACCGATAGTTTTTTAATGGACTCCTTCAATTGCACTTCTATAACTTGCTAAAAGAATACAAATCTTCCCCTCATCAATCTCACTGTTGACACAGAACTTTTGGCCACGTTGGGGAATTTTATGACTCTACCTTCTGGATCAAAATAACCTGGTGAAAGTTCTTCATCTACTTAGACTGGAAATTCTAATCCATCCATCCCCTTGCTTGCAGATAAGGTGACACCCTGGACATGGCCTCAGACATCCAGATGCCAGGCCCGGTGTGCCTCATTGAGAACACTAACACGCAACTAGTGGTTAATCCAGAAGCTTTGAAGATCCTGTCTGCCATTACACAGCCTGTTGTGGTGGTGGCCATTGTGGGTCTCTACCGCACAGGCAAATCCTACCTGATGAACAAGCTGGCTGGGAAGAAAAAAGGTGAGGGGCACCAGCTAAGCTCTGCTAAATCCCTTCTGTCTACCCACACTCCCAGCTTTGAGTATGGTGTTACAGAAAGAACAAGGTAGACATGGGGAGGATTTTTGAAAGCGAGCTTTTAATCTACCGCTGTGTTCTTATTTTACTGTGGTCTCAAAGAGTAAACTCACTGCCTCTTCCCACTTTCCTTAATTTCCCTTTTAAAAGCATAATTTATATTCTTTTCCTAGAATTCTGTTTATTTTTTTACAGAATCGCCATATCATGTCCCACAGCAACTCTACCATTTTCCAAGATTCTTATTTCTCCACATACTTACCAATACCTGTTATTTTGTTGTGTGTCTGGTGGTTTTTGTTGTTGTTTGTTTGTTTTTATTGACTTCAGATAGGGAGAGAGAGAGAGAGAGAGAGAGAGAGAGAGAGATTAATAATGTGAGAGAATAATTGATTGTCTGCCTCCTGCACACCCCACACTGGGGATCAAGCTCTCCGCAACCCAGACTGGGAATTGAACTGTGACCTTCTGGTTCACAGGTCAGTACTCAACCACCGGTCACACTGGCCCGGCTGTTATTTTGGTTTTTTTTTGATAGTGATCATCCTAATGTGTGTGAAATAGTATATCATTGTGCTTTTGATTTGTATTTACTGGATAGCTAATGCTGTTCATTATCTTGTTAAGTGTTTATTGGTTATTTGCATATATTCTTTAAGGAAATGTCTATTGAAGTCCTTGGCTCAATTTTTACTAGTAATTGGGTTTTTTGTATTCTGGTGTTTCATTGCAGGACTTCTTTATTTATTCTGGATATCAATCCCTTAACTGAGAAATATTTTCCCCAATTCCATAGGATTCCTATGAAACTCTGTTGATAGTATCCTTTGACCCACAAAAGTTTTAATTTTGAACCCAACTTATCTATTTTTCTTTCCTTGTTTATGCTTTTGGTGTGATATCCAAGAAATCATTCCAAAATCAATATTATGAAACTTTCCCCCTATCTTTTCTTCTATGAAGTTTATAGTTTTAGCACTTACATGTAGGTCTTTGAACTCATTTGGGTAATTTTGTAGAAGGAAAGCTTTCTATCTTGCACAATTGAGTGTGATGCTGGCTGAAGGATTTTCATATATGGCTTTTATTACATTGAGTTAGTTTACTTCTAGTCCTACTTTGTTAATGTTTTTATAGTAAAAGGTGTTGGATGTTTTTATGTATTGGATATTGGAATTTCCCTGTTTCTCTGTAAAATCACTACTGATTGTAGTTGGTTTTTTTAAAATGTATTTTTATTGATTTCAGAGTGGAAGGCAGAGGAAGAGAGAGTTGGAAACATCAGTGATAAGAGAGAATCATTGATTGGCTGCCTCCTGCACATCCCACACTGGGGGTGGAGCCTATAACTAGGGCATGTGCCCTGCCCCGTAGTCGAACCATGATCTCCTGGTTCTTAGGTCGACACTCAACCTCTGAGCCATGCCAGCCATGTTACTGGCTGTGGTCTCCCGTAACCTTGATTATGTTCATGTTTATCTCCATTTTAAGACACATCTGCTTTGAAAACTGCACTTCCTCTCTCTCCTCTCCCCCTGAAGGCTTCTCTCTTGGTTCCACTGTTCGGTCTCACACCAAAGGCATCTGGATGTGGTGTGTGCCTCACCCTAAGAAACCAAAGTACACCTTAGTTCTGCTTGACACTGAAGGGCTAGGAGATGTAGAGAAGGTAAGCATTAAATATTCAATTTGGAGACAATCCCTTCATTTCTGGGTATTGTCTACACTATTCAATACTTTTTCTTTTCTTTTTTTAAAATTTTATTATTAATATTTTAATTTTTATTCAAATAAGAGCTGACAGTAAACCTTAAGTGTTTTTTTATTTCTGATTATGTGCTAAGAGACCAAGTTTTGCAATCAGGAATGATGAAAATATAAGGAAGAATCCTAGAAGAGCATAGTGCTCATTAGATAATATTCTAATTATTAACAAGAGTCTATAACTAAGCCAGTTAACACTGATGCATAAAGGTACCACAAACAAAATCAATCATGAGTCCTATACTGCAGAGAACTTTAGTTAAGGATTAATGTTCAGAAATCATAAACTGAAGTTTAAATTTAAACCCTGTTATTAACAGAGTGTCCTTAGAAAATTATTTCACTTCTTTTAACCTCAGCTTTCAGAACTGTAAAACCGATGCAAAAGGTCAATATTTGCCTCATAGTGTTGTTTTACCTATTTAATAAGAACAGAAAGTGTTAGGTGAATAAAAATGACTAGATAAAATAGCTATAAATATTATTACTGTTACATAAGTCAATTTTGCTGTGAAAACATAGAGAAAATTAAATTACATTGAAGGCTTTAGAGTGCCCACCAATCTGGACTGTTTTTTATGCAATTATCTGTCAATCAACATAAGAGGACCTAGTGAGAATAGGTATAACTGAAAATACTAATCAGAAGATTAGTCAAAGTATAAGTTTTACTAACATTCATTTTCATTTGGATTTGTTTTCCTCTTATAAGACATTAATATAAAAAAAAAAAAAGCTACTCCACTAAATGAGCATCCGTTTACTACTGCTGATCTGGAAAGTGCCATGAGAATAAAACATAATCCTGGCCCAAATGTGTTCTGATTTCCAGGGTGACAACCAAAATGACTCCTGGATCTTTGCCCTGGCAATACTGCTGAGCAGCACCTTTGTGTACAATAGCATGGGGACCATAAACCAGCAGGCCATGGATCAACTGCAGTATCCTTTTTGTGGTCCAGAACAGCATCAAAATCAGAGGGGAGATTAGTACCTAAATACCAGCTCCCTGAATGTGAATCCTGGCGAATCAAGCACAAAAAGATGAAGTATGAAAAATAATTCAAGAGTAGGAAGAATTAACTCTTGGGTTAGAAACAATGCCAAAACCAAGGTTTGGAATATGTGGGACTAATATGGGATGAGGGGCACTGTACTTTTACACCATTTTTCCTTAGTTTGCTACTCAGCTATGTGACAGAGCTGACAGATAAAATCAGGGCAAAATCTTCACCTGATGCAAATGAGGTTGAGGATTCAGCTGACTTTGTGAGATTCTTTCCAGATTTTGTGTGGACACTGAGGGATTTTTCCCTAAAATTGGAATTAGATGGGCAACGCATTTCACCAGATGAGTACCTGGAAAATTCACTCAAACTCAAGCAAGGTAAAGGGGACTACTGATTGCACCTAACCACTCTACATGCTCCCTGTTTGCCCCCAAATGCACCCCCACACTGGCCAACGTGGACCCTGCTACACCCCTCTGCCAGCCTACTCGCCTCCAACTGCCCTTCTCTGCCAGCCTCATGACCCACAACTATCCTCCCCTGCTGACCTCATGGCTCCCAACTGCCTTCCCCTGCTGGCCTCATGGCTCTCTACTGCCCTTCCTGGCTGGTCTCCCAGAAGGTCTCCTGGTCTAATTAGCATATTACTCTTTTATTAGTAAAGATTTAGTGTTTTTACATGTATACTTTTCTACTTCTTCTCAGCTGCCTAGTTCTAAGAATTAATGCTTGTTTAATATATAAGTTCATAGATTTGATTTTGAATTATCTTCCCCCCTCTTCCAAGAACAAGTTTCTTTTTCTTTCACCTTTCCCTGCACTCTTATCTGGTTGATTTTTATCTCCCTGGTTAGGGCTTGTGATGCTGTAATTCGCCAAAGAATATGGAGTAGAATGGGCATTTATTTAAAGAAAATAGGTTAAAGATTAACAATGCACTAGCCAGGGGTTTACAAACTATGGCCCACAGGCAAATGATGGCCAATACAGCCTGCCAGCTATCCTACAAATAGGTTTTACTGGATGAATAATATGTAGATTGTCCATGGATGCTTTCATGCTATAATAGCAGAATTGAATACCTGGAAAAGAAACCACCTGACCTGCAAAGCCTAATATATATACCATTTAACCATTTACATAAAAAGTTTCCAAGCCCATATATTAAGCAAAGCCATTTTTTATTATCTTTCTCCAGGTACCAGTCATAAAGATAAAAATTTTAACCAGCCCCGGCATTGTATCCGAAATTTCTTCCCAAAGAAGAAATGCTTTACCTTTTCTCCGCCCACTCATTGGAAGAAGCTAGACCAACTTGAAACAATGCAAGATGATGAGCTGGAACCCGAATTTATGGAAGAAGCTGCTGACTTCTGTTCCTACATCTTTAGCAATTCCAAAGTCAAAACTCTTTCAGGAGGCATCCAGGTCAATGGACCCAGTGAGTCCACTTCCTGGTCATTATTCTCACTGTCAAGACTAAAGAAAGGTGGAATAGCATCCACCTAGTTTCATCTCTGAAAAGTGCAAATCTACTATTACTGTGTTATATTCCAGATGACACAACATTTCTAACAGATTTTATTAATCAGATTTTGTGGAAGAGAAAAGATAGAAAAAGACAAATATAAAAGCTCTATTGGTTAAAATTGCCCTAATAAGCTGGACCTGTACTAATAAAAGACTAGGTACATCATGCTCTTGAGCGACATCATCAAAAGATGGCCGCCAACATGTCATCACAATATGGCCACCACAAGATGTCTACCACAAGATATGTGCTAAAGATGGCTGCCACATGATAGCCAGCAGGGGAGGGCAGTTGGGCATTACCAGGACTGCAGAGCAGGGCTGGAACGGGCAATCAGGCTAGCAAGGGAGCAGTTAAGCATCAATCAGGCCAGCACGGGAGTGGTTAGGGGGCAATCAGGCTGGCAGGCAGGCAGGCAAGCAGTTAGGAGCCAGCAGTACTGGATTGTAAGAAGGATATCCAACTGCCGGTTTAGTCCGATCCCACAAGGTTGGAGAGGGTGCAGGCTGAGCTAAGGGACACCCCTCCAACCACCCCCTGTGCACAAATTTCATTCACTAGGCTTCTAGTCCCATATAATAGCTACTAGAACTAGACAAATGTAGTACCTACATTTAACTAAAATTACATGTAGATTAATTAGAATTAAAGAAAATTAACAATTCTGATTACATGGCTAGTGGTTCCAATATTGGATAGCACTTATAGCACATGACCATCATCACAGAAAATTCTCTTGGACAGTGTTCGGCTGGAATAAATAAAATGGAGGACTCCTTTTAAAATTTATTTTTAATTTTTAATCCTCACCCAAGGATGTTTTTCCATGACTTTGAGAGGGAGAGAGAAACATTGATGTGAGAGAGAAACATTAATCAGTTGCCTCCTGCATGCACCCCAACTGGGGATTGAACCCGCAACCTACATGTGTGCCCTGACCAGGAATAAAACCCACACTTTTTGGTGCATGGGACAGTGCTCCAACCAACAGAGACACCTGGCCAGGGCAGAGGACTTCTTTTTAATTGTTTCACAAATATTGATTTTTTAAATGCTTACCATGAACCAGAACTGATGATAGAGACATAAATTAGAGGTACATTTCCTATATTAATGGTGCTTAGGGGTAAACACATGCACTCAATAAACACAGGACTATGGTGCCTACAACAGAGGATTTCACCCTTTGATATGTATCAATATAACTCAAGGATCTCGCCAGAGGAGGATTTAATTCAGCCGATCTTGAGCAGAGGTTGAGAGTCTGCATTTCTAGCAAACTTGCAGGTGATGCTAAGGACACAGATGCTGTGAGCCAAAAGAGTGTTGAGAGATATCATCAGATTTATAGAGGATGGAGTTTTTCCTCACCTCACTTACAACAAACATTATCTTTTGTTCTCTATTTGTAGGGCTGGAGACTCTGGTAGTGACCTATATCAATACCATCAGCAGTGGGGACCTGCCCTGCATGGAGAACGCCATCCTGGCTTTGGCCCAAATAGAGAACTCGGCTGCAGTGAAAAAGGCCATGGCCCACTATGACCAGCAGATGGCTGAGAAGGTTGAACTGCCCACAGAAACCCTCCAAGAGCTCCTGGACCTGCACATGGCCAGTGAGAAAGAGGCCATTGAAGTCTTCATGAAGAATTCCTTCAAGGATGTAGACCATTTATTTCAAAATGAATTAGCGGTAATTTTTTTTCTTATGTTTATATGGATTAGGGTCTCAGAAAGCAAAGTACTACCAGAAAATAAAATGGGTATTTATCATGAGAGAAGGAATTCTTACTAGATTTCAAAATGACAAAAGCCACTATTTGTCATTATTATTGTAAGAAGAACCAATTTTATTATGATTGACTTAAAGTTTGAATTTGTTTTTCCTTTCACGCATAAACTAATACTATTTCTCATAATTTAATTAAATGAATGCAGGTAACAGTCAAAGCTCTTTATCAAGTTACATGCTTGCTGTTATCAGGCCAATTTCATATTATAGCCAAAAGCAAAGAAAGATGTAGTCTTAGTTATCTTGAGCAGGTTTACAATTGAGCCACATTTCTTCCATATGCAATCGCTGGTCCAATGTGAAAAGCAGAAGTTTCTTTCTAAAGGTGTATTTGTAGGACTAGAGAACCTAGTCCTGACCGATGTCAATGCCATCAGCAGTGGGGATCTGCCCTGCATGGGGAATGCAGTCATGGCCTCGGCCCATATAGAGAACTCAGCCACAGTGCAAAAGGCCGTGGCCCTCTATGCCCGGCAGATGTGTAGCATCAATGCTAACATAAAGCCAGCAATCTCTGCCATGAACTTCACCTCCAAGCAAAAGGGTCTTCAATAGAAAGATAAGATCAGGAGGAAGGATGTGGTCCTGCTGAGGTGCCTGTAAGTTTTTACAGGGTCACAGACTGGTTTTTGTGAAGCCTTTCCAAAAATCCTGAACTCAAGCTAACATTTTCTCTGTACTCTTTCTACTTCCTATTTTCACATTAAAGGCCCAGCTAGAAAAAAGGCGAAATGACTTTTGTAAAGAGAATATGAAAGCATCATCGGATCGCTGCTCAGCTTTACTTAAGGATATCTTCCATTCTTTAGAAGGACATATAAAGGAGGGGGTTTATTCTAAACCAGGAGGATATCATCTCTTAATGCAGACTATGAATGCGCTGAAGATAAAGTATCTTCAGGAACCCAGGAAGGGAATACAGGTAACCAGAATTTATCTGTCGCTCTGTTGCTCCCCTCAACCCCACACTTCCCTTCCTCCTGGTCTCCCTCCACCTCCTTTCCTTGGATCTGCTCTCTCCATGATGGCTTCATTCCTCACCCCACAGCTCCAAAAGTAGAGCCCTCATCAGAGAACAGAGACTCTCAATCTATATTTATATCAATCTCTTACAAAGGATTCTGCTTCATAGGGTTCCAGGATTGGCCAACCAGGAGCATGTGTTCACCCTGCGACAGGGGCCCCTTGACCAGCATAAGGACCAGGGCAAAGCAAACAATTCCTACAGGAAAAGATGGGAGGCAAATAGGAATATGCGCTTCCTGTGATTTCCTATTACTAATGCCATTTTCTCTGGATCCTAGAGTGAAGAAGTTCTTCAGACATACCTGAGGTCAAAGGAGTCTGTGATTGATGCAATTCTACAGACAGACCAGACTCTCACAGAAAAGGACAAGGAGATTGAAGGTGAGGAGTAAGTCAAGAGACTAGGTAGCCTCAACAGCTTTTAAAAGTTTAAATATCCGAAACCGGTTTGGCTCAGTGGATAGAGCATTGGCCTGCGGACTGAAAGGTCCCAGGTTCGATTCCAGTCAAGGGCATGTACCTGGGTTGTGGGCACATCCCCAGTAGGAGATGTGCAGGAGGCAGCTGATCGATGTTTCTCTCTCATCGATGTTTCTAACTCGCTATCTCTCTCTCTTCCTCTCTGCAAAAAATCAATAAAATATATTTTTTAAAAAAGTTTAAATAATTTGCCTTGGTGAACCTGGGGTCCTTAAACAAGAACCAGATGAGCAAAGATGCCTATTACTATCCAAAGTTAGTCTCACTGGGGCATTGGCAGTCATCAGCAACAATGACAGGTAATTTCACAAAGAAGAAGAAAAAAGGTGGTCAACCACATGAATTTGTCTTCTTCCTTTCCTCCTGGCAGTGCAACGTGTGAAAGCTGAATCTGCAGAGGCTGCAGCAAAAATGCTGGAGGAAATGCAAAAGAAGAATCAGCAGATGATGGAGGAGAAAGAAAAGAGTTATCAGGAACACCTGAAACAATTGACTGAGAAGATGGAGCAAGAGAGGGCCCAATTAATGGCAGAGCATGAGAGGGTTCTGGCTCTTAAACTTCAGGTATTAAATGGCATCACCTTGAGGTTTCTCTTTTACTGATTACTGTCCACTCTCCCTGACCTCTTTGTGTGTCTGTTAGAACACGAAACCTGGAAGGACCTTGCTTGCCCCCTTGTAGCTTTCAATCCCTGTCTGTTTGCCTGATTGGAGCCAGCCTATGTTGGGTTATTTAAAAAAAAAATTATATTCCTTTATCTCACATCCAGTCCTTCATCAGTACATTCTTCAATCGATGGTAGCTATTATCTTTCAGGCATTGCAAATATGGCTTATCTGTATCTCTTGCTTAATATGATATGAAGCAAGAATTGCTGTGTACCTATATCTTAGGAGAAGAAACAGAGGTTCATAGCAGATGAGCTTTTATAGGGTCACACAGATCGGTAAGATATCTGAACCGCCTTCAAACTTAGAGGAATCTACAATCACTGTTTTTCTGTCACACCTGGTATGACTTTGGTTCTAAGAGAAGCTTTATGAGCAGAAAGGCTCCTTGCCTCTCACACCTGTGTCCTCCACTCCTGACTGCTATGCCCTACTCCTAGTTTTTGTAGTGAGTTACATGCAGAAATCCAGTATGGATAGTTAGGAGCCTTGATGTCCTAAATTATATCCTGATATTCTTGCCACCAAGCTGTGGAGGCTTAAATCAAATTCCCTGATCTAAGATCCAGACACTTCCTTAGATTTTGAAATTTTTTTATTTCTGTCATGTGTATGTATATAAAAGTCTGAGTATAGGTGTGTGTGTGTGTGTGTGTGTGTGTGTGTATGTTGTGTGTAAATGAGTCGATAAGATTTGAAAACAAACATATGACTAAGATTGGCCACATATGCTGTGCAGAAGTAATGGGACTTATTTTATCACTATATAAGAAGGTATAAGCCAAAATCTCTCTCAGCTAAAGGAAGCTCAAGAAAAGCAATCATGCAGCTAGGATGTCCAAGAGAAAGTATAATGAATATTTATGGTAGAGAAAATTTCAAGAATAAATTAAATACTAAGAATGTGGATACTAGCTAGAAGTTGAGATTTGCTTACTGCTGTACTTTATTTACTCTTATTTATCCCTTTTTAGGAAAAGGAAAAGTTAGAAAAGGAAGGACACCAAATTGAGAGCAGAAAAATTCAGAGAGAAATTGAGAATCTCAAGGAGGAGATGGCAGGACTCAAGGAGCGTTGTACATTAATCTAAAGACCTAAGGCAAAGAGCTTCCCTGGTCACGCTACCCAAGGCACAACTCAAGCAGAATCTGGAAAAATACCACAACTTGAGATAAAGAGAGCTTCTTTAAGCTTTTAAAAGAAATCTACGAAAAACCCTTCACCTAACATACTTAATGATAAAAAATGGAAAGCTTTGCCCCTAACACAGGAATAAAGCAAGATGTGAAGTCTCCCCACTCCTGTTAAACAGTATAATGAAAGGCTTCCTACAATATGGCAAAAGAAAGGAAGAAAGAAAGAAAAAAAGAAAGAAAGAAAGAAAGAAAGAAAGAAAGAAAGAAAGAAAGAAAGAAAGGAAGAAAGAAAGTTGCCTTTATTCTCACACACTTTGATTATCCACATAGAAAAATCCCAGGGAATCTGCAACAAAAACAAAAAACAGCAACAACAAAAACTCTTGGGACAAATATGTGAGTTTAACAAGGCTGTAAGATTCAAGGTCAATTCAGAAAAATCCACCTTCAACTGTATTTTCATATAAAAGCAATGGACTATTGCAAACCAAAAATTACAAAACAATACCACTTACAATAGCTTTTTTTTTTTTTTAAAAGTAATACTTCTGTAGAAATATAACTAAACATGCACACAATCTTCTATGCTGAAAAACATTCTAAGACCAAGAGATTATGGGATCAATCATGATGTATGAATTTCCTTAGATTCCAACCCCCCTGTTGTTTTTGTGATGTTCCTTTTACTCATTGTAGAGAAGAAGGTTCAAGACCCTTATTATTAGAGCTATCCCTGACAAAAGCATATGCCTAGTATTTGTTACATTTCCCTGAGCACTAAAGATATGTCAATTGTGGGGGGCAGAGGTGGTATGGAGGGAGTCAATGGGAAAAAGGGGGGATAGCTGTAATACTAGTCTATATAATAAAAGCCTAATATGCAAATCGACCAGAATGACCAGTTGGTGTGGGGCAGGGCTGGCGAGCAGGCAGCACCAGGCCAGCCAAGGCAAGTGCCAGTGGGCAGAGGGAGGGGACAGCAATTGTGGGGAGAGGGGTGGGGAGTGGCGGTGGCGGAGGGGCAATGGGTGGGTGAGGAAGGCCACTCCCAGCACCATGCCCCGATTGGCCCGTAAGGGAGGCCAGACTATGGCTAAGGCCTGTTCCATGGGGGAGCAGGCCTAAGCCATCAGTTGGATATCCCCCGAGGGCTCCTAGTCTGCAAGAGGATGCAGGCTGGGCTGAGGGACCCCCCCAAGTGCACGGATTTTCTTGCATCTGGCCTCTAGTCAACAATAAAGATAAATTAAATATGTATATCCATTGTGTGTTAGGCTTTTATCCAAAAAGAAAGAGGAAAAAATATGGCTCAGAACTCAGTGCCACATAATATGCCTACTACACACACACACACACACACACACACACACACACACACACACATGCACACACACACATACACACACACATACAGACACACTCTACCCTTCCCACTCACCATGAGTTCTTTAACAGACAGGATTTCATAGAACACAAGACAGGAAAACTTACTCAGAGTTTTTTTTTCCCCCAAACTATGTTCAAAACAGAGTCCCCAGGGAGTTAGATGAGGCTTCATGAAAAGCAGCCATTGCTTGGTCTACAGGGATCGTTCATTCAAAAAACTTTCTGCCAAGTAGTGGGAATAGAGTTGTAGTCCTTCTCTTAAGGAGCTCATAGTCTAGTGGTGAAGACAGAGATTAAATAATACAGAAAACTAATGCCCAAGAAATTGAGTGGAGAGGATTTCTGATTTAGGAAGGAGTGTCTCTAATCCCTCTACCCCAATATATCTGAGATGGCTCCTTAGTTTGTCTTAACCATATTTCCCTTTTCAGTCAATTAGTGGAAAAAAGAAATCCAATTTGGGAGGGAGAGATAGAAAGTGACAGTGCCTATCACATGGCCCCGGAAAACCTATTTAATGAACAGTGTGTCATGCTCACAGTTGGTTTCTATGCCAGTCAGCATGTCCAGGCCTATCTCTGAGCCTTATCAGAGAGGCAGAGGTAATCACCAGCCACCCCAGAGGACTGGAGAGAAACAGAGGCACAGCTGCTGGCAAAGCCCAGAGAGAAAGAGAGAGGCAATGCCTGATCAACAGCTGCCACAGAGGTTGAGGATCAGACTCTGCCTCTCTCTCTGGGCCTCTCTCTGGTGGTCCAGCAACCCAGCACTGACTGAAGGACTGACTTCCGGTGTTCAGTCGAGGCTTTGGTCATTCATTATGGACCCTGGGTTTTTATATTTTAAGATTATTTTTTAAATGTTTTTATTGATTTTTAGCGAGAGAAGAAGAGGAAGGGATAGAGAGATAGAAACATCAGTAATAGAGATACATGGATTAGCTGCCTACTGGGGATCGAGCCTACAATGCAGACATGTGGCTTCACCAGGAATCAATCTGATGACCTCTTGTTTCATGGGTTGTGTTTTGGGGGAGTTGATGGAGTGATGAAAATTTCTTCTTGATTATAGCAATGGTTACACAAATATATATAAAACCATTACATTGTACCTTTTGAATTTGTGAATTGTATGGCATATAATCTATATCCAAATAAACCAGTCTGGTTGAGTATTTTTTTTTAAAGATTATATAGCCTGCACTCATGTGGTGGTGGTGATTTAGTCAATCTTGTCATCTTCTGAGGACTCCTTTTTTCTCTCTAAGACTTTTTCTTTTCAATCTATCTCCAATTTCTAACTACTATTCATTATTATGTACAGCAGTATAGGTGACCAGGTTTCTGTCCTATCTTTGTATAATTCAACAACCCTTTAATAGATTTGCTGAACCAAGGTCATCTTCTAGGTGTCATCACTATAGAAAACCTTCCCAAATTAGCACACCCCCTCCATGCACAGTGTAAGTCTCACCCATGAAGTCCGTGGAGGATTCAATCAGAATCTATGGTGAACGGAGCAAAAGGAGTGGGATTGGTGCTGTATATAAATTTTATTCACCTGTGAAAACCCCTTGCAGTCCTGTGTCTTTTCTAATAGAAACAGTGTACTTAATCAGGTACATTACTTTTCCTCCAAAGCCAAGGGATTAAGAGATGACATATTTACTATAAGAAATTATCTTTCTTACCTTCATTCCTTTTTTTTACTTCAGATTATTCTGTCTAACTGCATTTGATAATGAGACTTTAAATTATGGCAGTCTAGAGATAAGGGAAACCTTCCCCCTACAAAACACCTATAAATGCCAAAAGAAATATTACTAACATTTTGAAATATATCAGTGTGTTTGCAAGAACATAAAGTTGAAAGAATCAAATATAAAAAATTGGAAGAAAATCACGGTAGTACCTTGAAGCTGAACCTGTGACCATTTTGAAGCATGTGCCCATCTTTGACTCTTAATGACCATAAGAAGAGCAGAGGAGGAAGTCTTGGTGCTGAGATTGGTAGGTTTTACTAATTGGAAACTTAGATTGAATTGGATATCCTCCCAGGAAAGGATAGGCTGATAAGTATCTGTTTACAGCAGAGGAAAAATTACCTGCTTGACCGGCATTAGAATTAAAAATAAAACCTTTCCCTTACCTGAGTGTTGGATTGAACTTACCTACATTACAGGTGTGGTTTCAGAAACTACTTAAAATGGGCTGGTGTGGATGGGGCCCCAGGGCACCTGGCAGCAGCAAGTCCTTTTTGTAAGGCTGTGTTCAACTTGGACTCAGGGGATTCCCGCAGAATAGTCCAGAGAAACTGGGGCAAACTCAAACAAGGGTGCAACCCCACACAAGCAAGAGGTAGAAAGTAACAAACAAATGACAGAAAGATCCAGCAGGATCAGACACTGTAATTTTGAGCTCAGGTTATAAAACTAAATGTTTACACTGTTTAATAATATAAGAAAGAATACTTCAAGAGACAAGATGTCATAAAACACTATAAAGCAGAGTTTGGAAAGAAAAAAATTTAAGCACAAAAGGTTTTTCTTGAATGGATAATATAATTAACCTTTACAATATGACAATAACTTTCATTGTGATTGTTATCATGTTAATTGTTGACTGTTAACTATCACATATCCACATAAAAGAAGTATGTGTCCACCATTTTACTTTTTATCCAATCCCAGAATTTTCCCCACTTTGCTTTCTCCCGCCTCCCTAATCTATCACCAGTGCATTACATGTAACCCACTTATGTCTCCACCTTTGATTGTAATGTATAAAAGAAGGTGAAAAACTGCCATTCTCTGGAGCACTGTCCCAATAAATTCTGCTTCCCAGCAATTGTCAACAGTTTGGCTCAAATAAACTCACAGAAATTCTCTACAGGTTTGACTGCTTATAAGTTAACAAAATCACATGCCTCTAATGCAGTTCAAAACTCACTGGTGGCCTGGCTGGCGTGGCTCAATGGTTGAATATCAACCTATGAACCAGGAGGTTGCAGTTCAATTCCCAGTCAGGGTACATGCCTGGGTTGCCAGCTTGATCCCTAGTAGGGGACATGCAGGAAGCAGCTGATCAATGATTCTCTCTCATCACTGATGTTTCTGTCTCTCTCTCTTCCTCTCCCTTCCTCTCTGAAACCAGTAAAAATATATTTAAAGAAACAACAACTCACTGGTGGATATCCATCATTAAATTATCAAAAATGTCTGTTCATTTTTTTAAACTTGAATCCATAGGTATGTTTATATAATTGTTGACTGCACATTATAGTGTCCCCTTTTTTTGTTTTATTTTGTATTAAGGGGTTACAATGAAGAGCTCACTAGGTATGCTGACAATGAAGGAAATAATTGGCTCTCTGGGAGATACAGGATAAATAAATATTAGATAACAGATCAGGAGACTTTTGACAGACCAGATGTCTCCTGGTTGGAATATTTACATATATAAAGAAAAAAGGTTGTTGCTATAATATTTGACAATAAATCCATAAAACAAACTTTGATTATCTTTACTGTATGGCCACATAGTTTGGTCACTGGGAGCCAATGAGCCAACCCTGTTGACTCAAATCTTCACAGTTTGTGTGAAAGTTGTACTTCTTAGTGCATTTAAATAAACTGGAGGCCTGGTGCATGAAAATTTGTGCACTGGAAGGTGGGGGAGATGGGGAGTCCATCAGCCCGGCCTGCCCCCTCTCACAGTCCAGGATCCCTCAGGGGATGTCCTATTGATGGCTTAGGCCCGCTCCTCTGTGGGAGGTGACAGGCCGATCAGGGGAAGGCACTGCTCCCATCAAGCCTCTGCTGCTACCACTGCTTGCTGCCATGGCTGCCTGAGCCTTGGTCCTCACAGCCACCACTGCTTGCCTGAACCTGAGGCTGGCCCTGGGCAGCAGCAGCTGCTATATGTGGCTTGCCTGAGCCTCGGGCTGACCCTGGGCAGCCGCAACTGCTATCCCTGGCTTGCCTGAGTCTTGGGCTGCCCTGGGTAGCAGCAGCCGCCATCCCCGGCTTGCCTGAGCCTCAGGCAGCTGCTGCGGCTTTGTCAGGAAGGAGGTCCAGAAGACATCTGCTCTAATTAGTGTATTACCTTTTTATTAGTATAGATTGATCCTTTTGGTATATTAAAAAATAATAAAATAACAAATAAAAAGCAAAAAAGTTTTTCTTGAATGGATAATATAATTAACCTTGACAAGTCAGAAAATAACATAATTCTGGAAAAAGCAATTGTGAAGATAGTTATGAATAAGTTATCAAATATATAGCATACCAAGACAAAGACATGGAAACTAAGAAAAAGCATTCCAAAGAGCAGGGATGTACAGTATTCAAGAAAATAA